TCCTAAACTGGGGGAACTCGGCCCTTCACTAAATCTGCAACTAAATTTCGTTCGTCAAACGCTTCTTCTCAGAAGCTGTCCACAATTGATATTTTCCATTTCCACTGTTGTGGGAAGAGAATGCAAATGATCTTTTTTTCCTATTACAACTGGTATCTAAGACCCCAACCTGTGGATAGCGAACGTGTTATTGTTTGTGCATGTCTGTCGTCATGACATAGTTCACCAGCACTAGGTATTAATATCTGTTTCTCTTTTAAATTTCGAATGTTCAAAAAAAAATCGTTCTTCAAATGTATTTTATTAGAGGTGTTGTGTTGCGTTGTGTTGTGTTGCGTTGCTGAAGGAAACGTGAGTGTGTTTAACAATCTCAGTGTTAATATAAACATTTGCAAGCTTCACGCAAACGCATTCGCTTATTTGATATTTACCGAGACAAAAATCCATTATTTTCTTTGTTGAATTCCTCTAGCCTCGATCTGAGTCAGCCGGCTGCAATTTATTTAATGTCAAGAAACAACGACAGATCATTAATGTCAAACTAAGAAAGAACAAAAAATCACTGGTTGCGGTATTGAGGCTATTACTTTTCTAGAAAATTAGAAATCAAATATTCTAAAGTATTTTATGGTTTGTTACGGGTCAATAGCTAGAGAGGCGGGCCTGTTGTTCAAACCTTTTAAAATTGATGCAGACCTTCTGGAAGTTATGGTAACAAAGTTTATTCATGATGCATCTAAATATTTTTGAAAAAAATATGATTTAGAAATAGCGAAGGCGATAGATCGACACATTTTTAAAAAAAACAAAAGTTGACGTCATGACACTCGTAGTTATAGGAAATACGATAACCACACACAAAATGGCTGGAAAAACAGAAATAAAGCAATCGTGTGCCATGCCACCTTGAGGGTTTCAATTCATTTAGTAAAAAATAGTTTTTCTTAAATAATTTAAAATTAGCACTGCTCGTACAATGAAAAAGGTATTCTTTATAAATATTTGGTATCAAAAATAATAAATTAAAAAAAAAAACAACAAATTATTGAAAGGTGTGCAAGTTTAACATACAGCTAAGGTATGAAAGTTTAACATTTCAAACTCAAATGTTTTCTATATTGAGTAAACGAAATGTATTTGTCTTATTTACACGACATTTTCCTTTGATCGACTAAATGTCTACCCTAGATAAACGTTAGCTATTTATAGGAATTATTGAAATTTAAAAAAATCAACATTTCTTCATGAATAATACCTCAAAAACAAAAAAAATCCATTTCATAAAGAATAAAAAAAAGTTAACAAACATTAAAATTGAACAAAATTGTACTTTAATTTTGCGAGCGTGTTGTAATTAGAGGGTACTACGTATGCTTTAAATATAGGGTACTGTGAGCTTTCGGCTGATCCTTGAAACTTTCAATAATAAACTGTTTGATTATCTCGTTCGCTGTAATTAAAATGTTTTCTTTTCCTGCCAACTGTCAGCCATCAAAGTTTGACAGTAGGTCTAAAGTCGACACTGGCGAGTTGACCTATATTAAATGCTCGTACGGCGGAAAGAAGGAAGTGGCGCTTCAATTAAATTTCAACACCCCAAAATAATGTTAACTGAAAAATTTGTCCCGTGGAAGCTTTTCATCCCATAAGAGGTAGACCATACAATTTATTTTATGTTTTATGGCTGCGTCTTGAAAGGTATGTCAGACGTCGCCTTGACAACACTTATAGTTGAAATAATGCTTTTTTATTGTTTTCTTTCATCAATTTTGTACTTATATAACAAAAGTGACCACACCAAAAAAACCCTAACAGCAACGAAATAAATAAAACATATAGTAACGAATCAAGTTAAAAATTTCAGATTTTTTATTTCATTCCACGAATCAAAACCAAAACAATAATTCATCATGTAAGTTAATGGAATCGATTTGTTTTGAACTCTTGAAATCAAGAATGGGCATGAACAGATAGACTGAACTTACAAGTAGACTGAATTTACAGGTAGAGGGAATTACAAGTATACTGAATTTACAAGTAGATTGTACTTACAAGTAGATTGAATAAGCTTTCTGAACTGTCATATCTTTTTCGTCTTATTGTAACATTCATTTTTTATTCTTATTATAAATTATAACGTCAATTGTGGAACGGGCTCTCTTTAATATTATGTTCTTATGTCACTGTCATTGTGACACATTCAAAATGACACATTCACAATGACACATTCACAATGACACTTTCACGATGACACAATTTGACAATGACACTTTCACAATGACACTTTCATAATATTTTCTCATCCTGAAAATATTTCACAACGACACATTTTGATAATGACACTTTCACGATGACACTTTCACGATGACACTTTCACAATGACACTTTCACTATGACACATTCGCAATGACACTTTCACAATGACACATTCGCAATGACACTTTCAAGATGACACATTCGCAACGACACTTTCACGATGACACATTCGCAATGACACTTTCACGATGACACATTCGCAATGACACTTTCACGATGACACATTCACAATGACACTTTCACGATGACACATTGGCAATGACACTTGCAACGATGGCATTTGCCTGATATAACGTTCATTATCACCGAATTAATCATTCTGACATGGCAAAGATTCGTATATTATTATAGTTTCACTCATCAAATGAATCACATTTCCTAATAGAGTATGGGGTACGACCACAAAAGAAAAGAAAAAAAAAAACTATTTATTTTCGGAGACAAAAGAGCAACATGGGTTGGTACTTATCATATCCACTTTCATGCCCTTGCGGTTGTCATGGTTTCGCGAAGTAAAAATGAACTGGTTTACGAAACTGTGATTTGAAAGAAAATACTTTATTGAGAAATAAAGTAAACATTTTTATTTAATAAACTATAATATATGTTGTCTTTTAATTAGCCCTATTCAACTTATTGGAATAAATTTTAGAAACAACAAACTTGATATTCGAATTAACCGAAATTCAAAAAAAAATAATAATAAGCTGAATCCATGGGGAAGCTACTGTGTTTTACAAATATATTTGGACGTGCCCCATCACATTTTTGTTTACTTCATGAAATATTTCAGTGTCAAAATGAATCAACGCCAACACGTGACTCCACTTGGAGTCTTGACTATGACGTCACGTTAACTCTCCCTCTACATGGGTCACAATGTTGACCTTATAATTCTATGAGTTATTTCGTCCCTGGTTGCTCTGCTAGGTCACTCGTGATCACGGAGTCTTGAAGCTGGTCACGTGGCTCCACACCGCCGCTCACGCTTTTGGAAAGGAAACACGCCGTTCAAGGGTGACCAGACCTGGAAGATACATAATTTTTTTAAAAGAAACCTTCTACTGCTATGAGTAGTTGGCCCTACTACGTCTACTGCTTTGAGTGGTAGGCCCTACTAAGTCTATTGCTTTGAGTGGTAGGCCCTAATACGTCTACTGCTTTGAGTGGTAGGCCCTAATACGTCTACTGCTTTGAGTTGTAGGCCCTACTACGTCTACTGCTTTGAGTGGTAGGCCCTACTACGTCTACTGCTATGAGTGGTAGGCCCTACTACGTCTACTGCTATGAGTGGTAGGCCCTACTACGTCTACTGCTATGAGTGGTAGGCCCTACTACGTCTACTGCTTTGAGTGGTAGGCCCTACTACGTCTACTGCTTTGAGTGGTAGGCCCTACTACGTCTACTGCTTTGAGTGGTAGGCCCTACTACGTCTATTGCTTTGAGTTGTAGGCCCTACTACGTCTACTGCTTTGAGTGGTAGGCCCTACTACGTCTCCTGCTATGACTGGTAGGCTTTACTACATCTACTGCTATGAGTGGTAGCCCTGCCACCTTCTACTGCTATGAGTGGTAAGCCCTACCCCCTTCTACTGCTATGAGTGGTAGACCTTACCACTGGGAAGGGTAGATCCTACTTAATGATGATGATTAAAGTAGCCAGCTCCTTCATGATGACCCCACTCACCTCAAACCACACGCCTGCAACGCCAGATACACCAACTGCAAGCGTCCTGTGGCAACTGCCCAGGGCCATATTTCCCATAAGGCCAACCTATCTCATGGCTCAGGGTCCACCATATTTGGGAAGGGAGGTGGATTTATTTACAGATTTAAAAAAAAATTAGCAATTCGTCTTTATTAACTGGAAATCTTTAAGTTTTACATCCTTATACATTAGATAACTTGATCGATAACTTCACGTCGTCCATCTATTTGATGGAGTTAGTTTCATTGTTTGGTTTTATTTTCACTGTTTCAGTAGTATCCTAAAAAGTTTTAAAGAGGCCAAAGGTCATCCAAGTCCTTGCGATTTTTAGTTATGGATTTCTTAAAAAGTTCTTGAACTTTTTTTAAAATTCATTTTTGCTTAGCATACATCCCAACGTTCTTATTAACGTGTAAGGACAAATCACTTTAAAGGGACATTCATTTATCGAGTGTCCTAGCATTAGCGGACAGTTTCCCATCCAGGTCTGTTACAATTGATTGTTTAACTCTAACATGTTAAATGCATTATGCTAATCAATACTTGTCTTACAAAATCAGGCATCACTGACATTTCAAACATAAGGGCCTTTAATTACAGATATGTTGATTGAGCGATTCTGAGCCAACCTATACCATGGAAGCCTGAGCCAAGCAATGTCAGAGCAGCCTGAGCCAAACAATGCTACGGAAGCCTGAGCCAAGCAATGCCACGGAAACCTGAGCCAATCAATGCCATGGAAGCCTCAGCCAAGCAATGCTATGGCTGCCTGAGCCAAACCATGCCATGGAATCAGGGTAAATCAAGGTGACGGCTGGACGGTATCTGACCAAGAATGAAAACATTTTCAATGACCAACATGACGCATAACTGTACAGGATTTATGAGTGACTGTAGATCAGAACTCGTGACTTCGAGTGCACACCCCATGTACAGCAATGACGGGCTCTTGGAACAAAGTGAGGAGGACAGCTCAGGACTTATGTCCCATTACGAATACACCATATCTGAAGGTGTTCTCTGCCTGGCCCGTGGTACCCTGTCCGTGCTTGGGTGCACCGCCAACGTCATCAGCATCAGAACGTTCGCGTCCATGGGGCTCGCGGATGGAATGAACCTCTCTTTCCTGTGCCTGTCCGTCTCGGACCTCATGTACCTGGTCACCGTCCTAGCCCGCGCCGTCTCTTTCCTGTTCATGACGCTCGAGGAGATGCCGGGCCAATTTTTTTGGTTCCCCGTAGAACCGTACGGCGTTTACATTTTCTTTGGCCACGCTGGAAGAATCCCGTACATACTCTCTAATCTCACCACCACGTTTCTGGCCGTCGCGAGGTGCCTGTGTGTGGCCAGGCCGCTGGTTTTCAAGAACACGTTCTCCAGCAAAATCGCCCTCACCATCCTCTCGGCGTGCGCGGTTTTCTCGGTCTCGAGTTACGTGCCGATTCTCTTCTACATGGGGATGATCCCACTGTACGACGAGCGCACCAACGCCACGTCCAGACCATCGCTGTGGATTTCGCCCAAGAGGGAAGAGGTCAAAGACGTTGTCTGGGGCATGAGGGACGCCTTCGTGCCCTTCGCCACCCAAATCGTCGTCATCGTCTGCGTCATCACCATGTCTGGGAGTCTGAGGGCGGCGTCTAACTTCAGACATGCGAATTCGATAAGTCACCTCGTGCCTAGGAGTCACCTGAGTAGAGAAGCCTGTATCAAGGGTAATGACCCCGTGGAAGGTCGAGGCGTACATGGAGCAAAGCCAAACTATGTTCAGAGTAGACTCGGCGGTAAAGAGCTTCGTGTGGTGCAGCAGGTGGTCCTCATCTGCGTGGTGTACATCACGTGCAACACCCCGACCATTTTTATCAACTTCGCCAGCGTCTTCGAGTCCAACTTCTCCATTGAGAAAACTTACCGCAATCTCTATCTCACGACAACGGGCGCTAAGCATCTCTTCCAGACGATCAACGCCAGCTTCAACATCTTCATCTACCACAACTACAACTCTAAGTTCAAAAAGCGATGGGCCATAAATCGCCAATAGAAGACCTGATACTTTTTTTTTAATTTTTAAAAAGCTTGAAAAATAGGCGTAGGAATTATGTGGAACAATTTATGTGAAAACCTGTAAAAAGAACGCAATAAAATGACTAACGTTTCGGCACTATGCCTTCTTCTAGGAACAAACAACGAGTAAGACATTATAAAAAAAAATAAATACCCACTTAGCTCAAATGTTGTATCCTAGAAGATAATAAGAGAAATTTTTTTATGGTAGTTTTTAAGTGTTGCATTTTAATGACACAAGTGCGGTACATCAACCTTTCGATGTTGGCTCCGTTGCAAGAGGACTCAGAAAAACTAGACTAATTGAATTTAAATAGCATTTATTCCCCAAAGGGGTGGGGGTGCTGTTTTTTAGAAATTGAGATTTTAAAAAAGCATAATGATGTGCGACACTGCAAAAAGTTTTAGAACCCCTGCCAAAAAGAAAGAGAAATTAAATTTGTTATTACTATTACTCGACTAGTTTCCGAATTTCAACGTAGCAAAAAGCTGCCATGGCGAGTACCGCACAGAGCTGGTGCTAGCTTTGACGAAGACAACAGAATTCGGACAAATCCGATCACCTCTGCTTCAAAGACAGGGGCGGCACTCATTTCCAAATGAGGAACCATTATATAGATTATTACCGCTTAAAAAAAAAATTAAGTTAGTCGCAAGCGTTGCCTTATGAGAGGGACAAGTTGCACGTGACCCCAGGAATACAATTATTATATTTCTACTATTTCGAAACTACCACCTAACAAAAATGAAAAAAAAAATTACTCAGACTTTTTAAAGTAAAAAGAAAAATTGAATGGCTAAATAATGGAAATAGTCGCATGCATCTATAAAGCCACATGTTCCCGATCGCTGTGCCAGGACCAAAATAAATATCTTATTTATATCATATTATTTCTTTTTTATATTAACGCTGGTTTTGGGTGATTCTATAAGAAATGTGTTTTATAGCTGACAGTATATTTAATATCTTTTAACTATAATACATATTTGAATTTATACACAAAAAGAGCATTGTGGAAAGAGAAGTTGACAGACCCCAAGCGAATGATAATACAAACAAACAACTGATATATATATATATATATTAATTCTTCTTAAGGCTAAAAAAAAAAACATTGTGCATATCATAACCACGGTATTTTGTTTTTCTTTCAATTCAGAACTCGTGACATTTTTCAACCGAACGTGTCGTGAATTGAAGTACTTCATTTCTGAATGTGCGATTTAAAAACGTATAATACCTTAGTCCGTTTAATCGGTTGTTTCTTTTCATATGTCCAATAATGAAACCAAAGCCAAAGTCAGACAACATTGTCTCCTCGAAGAAAACAGGAACTACAAGAAAGACAACTCTCCCTGTCCAACCAATGTTTGAGAATAACACCTCCCCGTAACACGGCTGCTTTCGTTGGGGGGTATAGTATTTACATGGTAAACTGACAAGACACGAAGAGAGGTTGACAAACCAACGGTCGTTCAATTCTATATCCACTTTATTATACAAACAACAACTACTCCAGTGTTTGAATGCAACGAGCCCCGTATATTTTGGAACAAACACGGGGCTTCTCAATCTCTAAGCATTAAGATACAATTTACACAACAACAAAAAAGGCCCATCTGTATTAATGAATACAAACAATTTTTTTTCTTCAAAATTTCTATCACATAGTTTTGTTTCGGTTAAAAGCTCACCTCCAAATTTAAAATTAATGGACATGGTATGTTTCGTTAAAATAATAAAACCTTTATAACATATTGCTATTTTAAAAAAATTTCTTCCTAACATACGAAAAACCAAAATGGGAAGTGACGTAAGCCTAAACACTCAACTAATAATGATAGATCAAAGAAAATAAACCAAATTTCATTCAAAATTTCAAAAATAATGTTAAATATTTTTTTTACAGATTTTTTTTCCCAAAAAAATATTAAGCTTAAAAAAGAAAAAAAAATTGCGTAATATCGGAGGTTACAGATATCCCTCTTTTTTTTTAGACGCAATATTTAAATTTCTAGTTTAACTAAACAAAAGAAATCAAACACAGATACCATTTTCGATTCTTTAAAATAAAAAAATAATTTTAAAAATATTCGTGCGACAACATTAATAATTACTTATAATTGTTACCGACAGTCTGTGTTCAACTCCCACAATTGTCAGTTCCAGTGCAGCACCTGTTTGTCTAGAAATGTCAGACCAATAATGAAGTGCATGCGCGGTTTACTTATAATGCAACAAAGAAAATGAGATGGCTATGTTTTAATTTTTGTTATGTCATGAATAAACATCAAACAAACAGAAACTAATGAAATCTGTATTGACCGAAAAGCTTTATATTTGCAACGAAATTTTCCACAGTAGCAACTAAGCAAGATGAGCCAAGTCCATGGCTGCCTCATTACCAAGGGATGGAATCTCTTTCAACGAAACACTGGACAGAAATATCAATTTCAATCTTACGGAAACTCAGAATCCATACTTAACTTGGGTGGGAGTTATCGCTCTTACTCGAACCATCCTCTGCATATTCGGAATCATTGGGAATGTGATAACGATAAAAATATTCCTGGTCATCGGCGTCAAAGATGGAGTGACCGCTTCGTTTTTATTCCTGGCATGTGCAGACCTCGCCTACCTTATTTCCATTCTCGTATACTCCGTCGCCTACGGGTTCCACGTGTATGAAGAACAGACCAGTTACCGGACGTGGTTTGACGTCAAACCGTATGCCGTATTTGTTTACTTCGTTAACGTCGCCAGCTGTCCGTACACGGTGGCCATTCTGACCACCATGTTTTTATCGGTCATCCGATGCCTGGGTGTTTCCCGCCCGCTTCTTTCCGATCAAGTATCACCAGGAGAAATGCATTGTGGGTATTGATGGCATTTTTAGTCCTAGCCGTGGGCAGCAGCGTTCCGGTGTTGGCGCTCATGGGGATAGTGACCCAGTTTGACGGGCGAATCAACGCGTCGCGGCCCTCGTTGTGGCTCTCACCGCTGAGGCAGCGGGTCAAGGACGTTACCTTTGTGGTCAGAGACGCCATCTTGCCGCTCATCACGGAGCTCGTACTGTCTGCTGGTGTGGTCGTCATGGCAACGTCTCTGCAGTCAGCCGCGAAATTCCGCAGCCTTCACTCATCGAGATCGTCTAAAATTCCAAAACAACAAACTTCATCCTACCACAAAAGAAACGAAACTAATTTCAGTTTCAGTCGTTTTAAAGTAGGATCAACTCACCTCCGAGGTAAAGATCTTCACGTCGTCCAGCAGATGTTGCTGTTGTCCGCAGTGTGCATCATCTGCAACACGCCCAAGATCACCTACAACTTTGTGCAAATGTTTTTACCACAATTTTCTTTCGGCCAGAGCTTGGAGAACGTCGTTCTCCTGGCCGATGGCATCAGAGACTTCTTTCAGACCATCAACTGCAGCGTCGCGTTTCTCATCTACTACAAGTTCAATTCAAAATTTCACAAACTTGTTTGATGTTCATGCCTTGTTCATACTTGACGTTTTAGTTCACAAATACGTTCACAAACGCAGACCCATTTAACTTTTCAAAAGTTACTCAATATAAGACATACACACTTGACTCTGACTGCAGTTACTTGCGTCCATCCTGACATGGCTAAAAATAATTTGAGAACTACTGCCACTTATCCTAATAAATGCAGGAAATATTTCCCATTTATTTTAAATGCCGCCTGCAAATTTGAAAGCGATGTCAAACATAAAATAACTAGAAGGGATGCTCTGAATGTCATCCTACTATAAAAGAGGGTTGACACAGTTATAGCATAGCTCCGACAACTGGCTATTTTATTTATAATACCCTATATGACATATGTCATTTTGCCTCGTCCATGATGTCACCATCCTTTACGCCTGACATCAAACCCGGCGTGGCCACACAATGTTATACCATAGGCCAGTGCTTCTCAAAGTGTATCTTCACACGCCAAACCTAAACTCTAACCGGTTTTCCTACTAACTAACATTACCCAATTCGAACCCCCGTTTTGAAATGCAATATATATTTTCCACGGAAATTAAATGCCACCCCCCCCCCAAAAAAAAATAAATAAATGATGATTTTCAAATTTTCCCCTCTCCTGGGAAAAGTATATTACAATTTGGGAGCCACTGCTTCAGACTGCTATGGATACATTTATACATGTGGTCAAATTTAAATAATTCAACAACCATATGCAGTTTGCTGACTAAATTGCTGTTTTTTTCTATTTTTTAAAAAAGTTACACTGAAAAGGAGTGCAATTTTTCATTGACTTAATACTACTTAAATACGAACCATAAAAAAAAGTACATATGTTGGATTATCTAACGGAAAGAGAGTTGTTGTTTTTTCTTCAACTTGATAAAAAATATTTGATGAAATACATGACAATAAGCAATAACAATTGTTTCGCTATTTTTTTTAAATTTGTATTTTTTAAAATTGTCAAGTGCATTTTTTTTTTTTTTTTTTTTTTTTTTTTTTTTTTTTTTTTTTTTTTTTTTTTTTTTTTTTTTTTTTTTTTTTGTATTAATTGTTTCGTCAAAAATATACGTCTATGCCAACTTTATGAATGCACCAGAGGCTTCTGATGCTCTGAACACCTCGGCCCTTGACAGTCTGAGTGAGGCTTGTGGCAAGCTATAGTGCATGCTTGTTTCCTCAATACGAAAAAAAGATACTTTAAATAGAGAAGCTCACTTTTAGACCGGCTCATTGTCGACTCTGTTTCTCTGTGTTATTATTTTAATGAGGGAATGAAACCCACACACTGTGGTACACCGCGGTGACGTCATGACTTATTTATCTAAACACACATTCTGTTTTACACGGCGGTGACGTTACCATTGTGTTGGGACTCGTCAATTATGGTAATGAGGTAAGCGATTTTTATCATCGGACGAGAACTCTCGGCCGATCTCGTGCCGTACGGCAAATATTTTTCCGTTATTACGGGAACAAACGAGAACCTGGGCTTGGCGCTATTTGTTCGTGTTACTTAATAAAATATACCGATCTGGGAGCCCCACCCCTTCTCACATTCAAAAAAAATGTGAATTCAAACCATGTCATCTTTGTGACAACACATTTAATGACTGAATAGATGGGGACTGGGGGGGGGGGGACACTTTGTATTCTCGGGTAGCTTTGTTTTGTGGAGCTTCGTGGGTGGTGGCCGGGTGGTTTAGAAATGTTTCTTCGAGTTATTACATCAGTCCGGTTTAAACAGGTTCTGTTTAGTTTTAAAAAGGTGGGGGGTGGGGGGGGGGGGGGACACTTTGTATTCTCGGGTAGCTTTGTTTTGTGGAGCTTCGTGGGTGGTGGCCGGGTGGATTAGAAATGTTTCTTCGAGTTATTACATCAGTCCTGTTTAAACAGGATCTGTTTAGTTTTAAACGCTGAATCTTGGATGCTTGTGTAATGTGTAACTGTGTGACCTAAACGTATGTTTTCTCTGAAAATACAACATTAATTCGTACTGTCATTGACAACCATTGGAATACATTGCCATAAGTATACTGGTCGGAGCTTAAAAAATCGGTGTTCAATTCACGATCTATACAGCTTAACATACAGTGCGTTAATTCAGTAATATATCCAGGAAGCTTTCTTACAATCACAGTATCCTAGAGTTGTTTGGGCAGTCGGACTGGGGCAGTAGTACGTGCATGCTTTGTGAATCATTTAGTGAAGGAGATCTTTTTGACAAAATACAACAACATATTTTTTTTAATAGTTGATTATGGCCAGAAATGAGAAGCGCGAGGGTCTCTTTGAAACCTGGGAATTCTTAGTTTGTTTTTTTAAAAATGGAAACATGGCAAAGTTGAACACATTTGAAAGAATTGTTTTATGCAAATAAATTAATTTTAAACGTATTTCGTGAATTGAGCAGTCAAATAATTATACACATCTAACGTGTACGCATGCAGCTTGTTTACATCTAACTTGCACACATGTAGCTTGTACAAATCTAACTTGTGAACATGAAGTTTGTACACATTTAACTTGTACAGATGTAGCTTGTACACATCTAAATGGTACACATGTAGCTTGAACCAAACTTTTAAGCAGGATTACAGCCTTAAAAAAATGAACGTGTGTACATACATGAGTTGTACACATGTCATGAACAGCTTTGTGTGGGCGTGTACATAAATTGGTAGTACACAACACATTAACACCTGTAGATGACAGTGTGGTTTTTACAAATAAATTAAGTCCCACCCTTTTAACTTCGATGAAAAAAACAATGTGTGTTTCCCCCCCCCCCAAAAAAAAATCAAAATAGATTTAATTTGATCTAGAGAACTTTATTCTAGAAGTCTCCTTTAAACAAATAATTAATGGTCATTGGTTTAGTCGGACTAAACGACGTCTCCATTTTGACTGAATGATATGAGAGATTGAAAAACAAAAACTATATGAGCAAAATCCACACCCAGCTTAGCCCTAAAAGAAATACGATGGAGAGAAGGACACGAAGTCAAAATTTCAAAACTTTTCACGTGAGAAAACAGACCAAGATTGTGTTGCCTTGAAATTTGTTCGGGTCTAACTCAATGTGATCTTCCCACAAAAAACATAAAAACCTCAACCAGAATGGATGCTTCAGTTTTACGAGATATCCCGAGGAATGTGCTAACGGGGGATTTCGTACAACTCTCCGAGTCCAGGCACCAAGAAGGCGGGTACGATTACGTCACGTGGGTCGGGGTCATCTGCCTGTTGCGTGGACTGGTTGCCGTTCTTGGATTGTCCGGAAATGCCTGCAGTTTCAGGACGTTCGTCTCCATGGGGCTGCGTGACTGGGTCACCATTACCTTCGCGTGGCTTGCTGTCGCGGACTCCTTTTTTCTGATGGCCGTTGTCGTCATCTCATTTGCATATTTTGTGGCCGCCATTGAGCAGTGGAACAGCGGCAGTGGATTTATGTTTCCGGCAGATCCATTTGCTGTCGGCATATTTTTTGTCAACTGCGGAGGCGGTCCTTACACACTGACCATGCTGACCACCACGTTCATCGCACTGGCGAGATGCATGGGCGTGGTCAAACCGCTGACCTTCAGGCACTCGTTTTCCAGAATGAGAACCGTGGCAATACTGTCGACTTTCTCCGTGTTGTCTCTCCTTAGCGTCATCCCAATTTTAATCTTCATGGACTTAAAACGACGCGAAGGCCCAGCGGCCAACTCCACGAGGCTCTTCCTGTGGCTATCGCAGGATCGCAAGCAGGTCAAGGACATTCTCTGGCCAATCAGAGACGCGTTTCTCCCTCTCTCGGCGCAGGTCATCCTCTTGCTGTGCGTCTACTTCATGGCCGGAAGTCTTCACGAGTCTTCTCGGTTCAGACGCGCTGACACACGTCAATCAAAACACCTGCCGGCGAATGCGCCGAGCCACACACGTGACTCTTTGAAAGCTGACGGCCTTCAAGGTCGCGATGCTCAGAAAACCTCCAACCCGACTTTTCATTTGAGCGGCAAAGAGCTCAAGGTCATCCAACAGATGCTGTTCATCTCCTCCATCTTCATCGTCTGCAACACGCCCAAGATCGTGTTGAATTTGACAGAACTCTGTTTCCCAGAGTTCAACATTGCGGATGACCTGCAGGGCGTCTACTACACGATGGTCAACATCAGGGATTTCTTCCAGACCGTCAACTCCAGTGTGAATATATTTATATATTATCATTACAGTTCCAAATTCCGTCAACATTTCAAGGAACTCTTCGTCCCGACACAGAAACGTTTTAAAAAACAGGTGGAGAGAACCCTGGGGAAATAATAATCAAACGTTGTGACCTACTTACTGTTTCTATTTTTAGCCGAAAGCTTTTTTTTTTAATACGTCCAAATAAGATGGCGCTTAGAATAAAATTTCTGTTCAATTACTTTAAATTGTTTGGTTTATTTCGTTTTATCCCCCCCTTGCACGCTTGTGTGACGTCATCAGTATGTAATTTCTAAGCCAAATTCTTCTGCAGATTATTAACACTGTGTAATTTGAGCTAACGTTTAATATTTTTATCACATTATTACCTTGATGACTTAGTGCATATGATCATTTCACAAATCTTAGAGATACCTTCTTCAATTAGGATTAATATATTACTATTTTGAAATCCAAGTTCTATGCATTAATGAGGCAGCAATTGAGGCTATACTGCTTTGCTGAAGACTAAAGCCATTTGTTTGACTTAGGACATCCCATTGGTTTGTTAAGCCTTAGATTTACTCTCATAAACTAAGATGTTCTATGACCTTGGCAGAAAGAGCTCGACTCTGGCTTCCAACTTCTAGATAAAATGTCATAACAAGAAAATTGTTGAGTGAGTTGTCGAAAGCACTCCACTAGTTTGGAGCAAGTTTTCACATCGCTCGCTGCTAAGACATCCCGCGGCCGTCACACCTGTCTCGCTTTTCTTGCATTGTGTCGTTGGACAGAGATTAATTCGTATCTGTGTCCGGTGTTCGGAAATCTCTTGTGTAACAAAGTTTGATTCCTGTCATGCATCGAAACCGTGGAGGTTTTTGTTGATCCTGAAGACAATACGTTTCTTAAAATAAATTACTCTTCAATGCTGGTAATATTTTTTTTTAACTGTAATGAAATGACCAACAATGTTTGTTTTTATTTGCTCACGTCTTAAACCAACTGGCAATAGGCTTAAAATTAAGCAGACTCTCAAGGGAGAACACTTCTTTCGAATTCTTGACATAGCTTCTTTTTTTTTTTTCCTACGTTTTATTTTTTTTTTTTTAAAATTGGATCCCAAAACAGAGGAGAAATATTTCTTCAAATAATGGATTTAAATTATTATTACGTTCTGATCTATTAACACGACTGTGTTGTGCTCCGCGCTATTAAAATGACTGTGTTATGTTCCACACTATTAAAACGATTGTATTCTATTCCTCGCTATTCACACGACTATATTATGTATCACACTATTAACACGACGTGTATGAATAGGCCAGAGCTCCCACGGATTTCTTCGTGGAAATAAACGATGAAGACAGGTAGGCTGTCGTCTTGCCGCAGCTGAGATATTCTTAACACCCGTCTCTCCTGGCGTACGGGCCAAACCTGGAATATGTACAAAAAAGCCATAATCATTAGGCCGAAATTGAACCAACAATAATAAATATGCTAAACAACTCGGTTATTCCCTCAACATATAAACATATTAATATCATCGCTTGAGGGTCTAGTGTAAGACACGTGAACATTTTCAAACACTTAGCATTCATTTTGTTCTTCCTCAAATGTTTTCTGAGCAGTACATAGATCTAATTATGAAAGAAGATTTATCAGAGATTTCCCGATAAGAGAGTCCTTGAGAATCTCCTTGGAAAACGATCAACAATATTTCCTGAACTTATCAAAATGAAACATTTGACGTAATAAGTAAAAACAAAATTAGATCTCTTCCGTACCACTTCAAGACCATAACCCAAAAACCATGAAGATGCATTCCGGATTCCACAACTGCTTCAACAACCCCTTCAAATGGTATGGCATGAGCAACCCCTTCAAGCGATATGTGATGAACAACCCTCTTGAATCTTGTGCCATCAACAATCATGCAAGACCAATTATCGATTCTTAAATCTGTTTCCCCAGCTAATCGCGGGATCATTAAAATAAGTCGCTGTTGACTGACGGGGGACTGATAGCTCGCAAACATTATTTGAACAAATCAGAAAACGTTGGTTGATACTGGAGTTTATTTTCGATCATCAGTTGATGCTGTCATTTTTTAAAAGCACTTTCATCTCCAAACGTTCTGACGTTCTGTCTTAAAAGTCTTTGTCTCCAGACACCAGTCTAACAATCTTGGCGTAGCTTTCTCCTTACGCTCTTGACACTATATTACAAAGACAAGGCTCAAACAAATTCACGGCACGATAAATTGACAAAGCTTCTGACCGTTTTTACCTGACCTAAAGAAATCATATGTTCAAATATGTTTAGTCTAGATGAGGGGATTAAATCCTTTTTATTTCATACCCATACAAAAATGAATAAAAACATTGTAATGTTAGAATAAAAAAATAAATATATTTTTTTTTTTTTAATTTCCGTTAATGCCTATACTTTTAATGATATTATTTAATATTAAATACTTTTATGAAATAGTTTTCACTTTGACCGTTGAAAAGAAGCGAAACATATTCATTTCTCATTGACCAGCAAGCGAGAGATCAGAAAGCATTTCAAAAGTAACTGCTCTGAAAATGGAAACAGCAAATTTCTCTTCAGTACTTTCGATCATCCTTCATATCACCCCCACGAAGCAGACGCCCCTCCATGAACTGATCCTCATCGACACCTACCTTGCTTGGGTCGGGACCATCTGCCTAGCGCGTGGCATCCTTGCCGTCTGCGGAGCCGTAGGCAACGCACTGAGCATCAAAACATTCATCTCTATCGGGCTCGCTGATTGGTCCGTGGTGTCCTTGGCCTGGCTGTCGGCGTCAGACCTGCTGTACCTCTCGGCGGTGGTCGTCAGCTCGTTCTCTTACGACGTCTTCGTCGCGGAGGCGTGGTACGGCTACCGCACGTGGTACCCCGTGGAGCCGTTCGGCGTCTACACCATCTTCGACAACCTCGGGGGCGGGCCTTACGCCCTGACGCTGTTGGTCACCACCTACCTCTCTTTGACGCGGTGCCTGGGCGTGGCCATGCCCCTGTACTTCAAACACGCCCTGACCAGAGCCAAAACGGTCGCCGTACTCGCGTGTTTTACTGCGGTCGCCTTGACCAGTTGTCTGCCTATTCTCGTCTTTATGAGCCTCGAGGCTCAGTTCGACAAGCGCGTCAACGCTACGAGACCGCTGATTCGTATAGACGAGGGCTGGCTGCACACGAAGGACTACGTCTGGGGTCTCAGGGACATCTTCCTGCCACTCGCGGCGCAAGCCATCCTCGTCGCCTGCGTTTCCGTCATGGCAAAATGTTTGCGAGACTCGACGAGATTTCGCCAAGGAAGCATGCGCGTCCGACATTCTGACCCGGTTCCCGGTAACCTAAAATCACCCAATGTAATATCGTATTCGAGATTCGACGAGGTGCCACACGGGACGCCACCACCATCACAAAGGGCGGTAAGGCTCAGCGGGAGAGAACTCCAAGCCGTCCGTCAAATGCTGGTCATCTCCTCCGTGTTCATCGTCAGCAACACGCCCAAGATCTTCATGAACGTGGCCGAGTTGTCCTTCACGACCTTCACCCTGATCGGTCAATTCCAGGCGCTGTTTCAGACCGTCAACAGTCTGAGGGAGCTTTTCCAGACCATCAACTCCAGCGTCAACTTTCTGATCTACGTCACGTACAATACAAAGTTTCGAGAAAATTTACTCAGTCTCAACCACCGTAAATAATACGTTGCTTACCGTGGCGAGGCCCAAGATACACACAAATGTATTTTTTTTTAAAAGTAATAAATTTAGTGCTTTATTTTCTCGTGACAGTTCATTGCATTCTTTCCCCTTTAGTTTATTTGTGTATAGAATTATTTCAATGTCTTGAGGTTCAACTGGTTAGGGCAGTGACTTTCGGGCCGAAAATTTGGGCCCCAAGAAATTAGTTTCCACCCCTTTGTAAATATCTGATATTGTTCTCCGTGGTATACTTGTTATTTTGAGTTGATATCTGATACAGGCGCTGATGTCTTCGTTTCTCAGCTAATTTTTTGTTTTTAAGATGACTAGCCAACATACCCGGCGTTGCTCGGGGCTGACTCCCGATCCCATTGGTATCCCTAACCCGTCAATATTCCAATCTTGGTTGGATCCCGATACCGATACCGATTGGGATCCCATTTTTGATCCCGACCCCAACTAAATCCTCCACTATAACTAAAGTACATTTAAGTTGAAAGAGGGGCCCCAGTGGGGGCCCATTCCAAAATTGTACAGAATCTGTTTTGCCTGTGAGGGGGCCCCATAAAAATCATTCAGTTATAATATGGAGTTAAAATTTAAAATTTGTTCCGTTAAAATCTACTTAAAAAATGCCATAGATAGAGCTTTTTAAAAGTTATGGAATTTTCTGGAAAATTCTACATCGGACATTCTTAGTTTTAAATCATCCGATATTTCAATACGGACAATGAAGGGTGCTGCTACCACGCCAGGGCTACGTCCATCTGTTCACTTAGGAGCCAAAATGATCAATAAATTGATCGTGAGCCCTTAATATATAGAAGAAGAAGAAGACTTATATTTTTTTCTAAGCCCATAGATATTTATAAGGCTTATATAAGGAAAATGAAATGGGGCCCCGGCCCGAAAGGAATGGATATTATGAGTTCAGTACCCTTCGCTTTTTGAATATGGATAATCAAGTGTATGTGTACTGTGTTTTGTCAATATCCATCCATTCATTGGTCATTTTATTCATACAGCTCATGGCAGGATAAAACGAGTTAGGGGCCTCCGGTCCCAAATGGAATGTGACTAAAAAGTTCACCACTCCCCTAGAGATCCTTCCGGATAATGATGGATGTATGTGCCAAGTTTGGTCAAGATCCATCAATCCATGTGAAGGTATGTGTGGAACAAATCCACAAACAGACAAAATTCATCTAGTGAGCCTGGGGCGGGGGGGGGGGGNACACACACACACACACACACACACACACACACACACACACACACACACACACACACACACACACACACACACACACACACACACACACACACACACACACACACACACACACACACACACACACACACACACACACACACACACACACACACACACACACACACACACACACACACACACACACACACACACACACACACACACACACACACACACACACACACACACACACACACACACACACACACACACACACACACACACACACACACACACACACACACACACACACACACACACACACACACACACACACACACACACACACACACACACACACACACACACACACACACACACACACACACACACACACACACACACACACACACACACACACACACACACACACACACACACACACACACACACACACACACACACACACACACACACACACACACACACACACACACACACACACACACACACACACACACACACACACACACACACACACACACACACACACACACACACACACACACACACACACACACACACACACACACACACACACACACACACACACACACACACACACACACACACACACACACACACACACACACACACACACACACACACACACACACACACACACACACACACACACACACACACACACACACACACACACACACACACACACACACACACACACACACACACACACACACACACACACACACACACACACACACACACACACACACACACACACACACACACACACACACACACACACACACACACACACAAACACACACACACACACACACACACACACACACACAAACACACACACAAACACACACACACAAACACACACACAAACACAAACACACAAACACACACACAAACACACACACACAACACGTTGAACCATTTCCGAGTTTCAACAAAACAAAATCCCGACCATGACAAGTGGCAACCAGAGCACAGCACAGCAGAGCACAGGAGAGCAGAGCACAGCAGAGCAGAGCACATGAGAGCAGAGCACAGCAGAGCAGAGCACAGCAGAGCAGAGCACAGGAGAGCAGAGCACAGCAGAGCAGAGCACAGCAGAGCAGAGCACAGCAGAGCAGAGCAGAGCACAGCAGAGCAGAGCACAGCAGAGCAGAGCACAGCAGAGCAGAGCACAGGAGAGCAGAGCACAGCACAACAACGCAAAGCACAGCAGAGCGCAGCCCAACAGAGCACAGCACAATAGAGCACAGTACAACAGAACAACAGTACAACAGAGCAGAGCACAGCAGAGGAAAGCAGACCTTGAGCTTAATTTTACGGCGATTAAAACAAAAACAAGTCTGTAAATAATGTTGGTGACCATTGTAAAGCCGTGCACCACTGCTTCTAGCCTCAACCCGGCACACTTCTCTGTGTCACGAGACATTTTATTAAATATCCCCTCTAAGAAAATATGTAGGTCATCGCTGGCTGAGTGCACATGAGCACATGGGCACGTGACACCTGGGGTAGAATTATATTCCTAATCCATAAAAGCATAGAAACTACAATGAAACCAAATGTGGAAAAAATAAATTTGTTCTATCATTTTAAAGTAAAAAGAGAAATTGAATGTCAAAGTAATGAAAAGGGGCCGCATCATGCGTCTATGAAGCCGCAAGTTGCCGACCGCTGTGTTAGAACGAAAAATTTTTTTTTTTTTTTTTTTTTTTTTTTTTTTTTTTTTTTTTTTTTTAGACATTTTTTAATACTATAGAAACAATTAAAATGGCTATAAAACGAGGACACTTTGGCACGTTTTGGCCAACCCGAGACAGAAAATGAGGCAGGGCAAGGAGGGTGCATCACAGGTCATAGGCGGACCTAAACAGATGAGTTTTAAGGGACTTTTTGAAAGTGGACGAGGTTTCACAATGACGGATATGGAAGGGGAGCTGGTACCAGAACGTGGGCCCATGGAAGTAGAAGGAGCGTTCACCGATGGTCTTAGTTATTGATACTACCATTTGATGGCGTCGATTCCTGTTTCATAGTTGACAGGAAATCTAATGTGTTACAACAAATATTTGAATTTTAAAATTTACATGCATGATGGGAAGAGAAGCAGGCAGACTCTAAGCGAATAATAATTATAATACAAATATACAACTGATATCTATATTATTATATCTACATTCGAGAATAGGTTTTTTTTTAAACTCCTTTGGCTCGCACATTGTGTGTTATAATTGACAACTTTTATGATGTGTTAGAATTGATAACTTGTATGTGTTATAATTGATAGCTTAAATTTATTCGGTTTGAGACTCTCTAATCTAACATGTCGTGAATTGTAAGTACATTAGTTCTGATAGTACGATTCTAATACATATAAGCCTATGTTTAAGCCTGTATTACTTTGTGTCAGAAAATGAAACCGATGTCCGAGGCACAAGATGATACAATACCTTAAAAGAAATCAGAGATTACAAGAAATCTGTGCGCCGAACACTTTGTATAACATGGATTACCTATTGACACTAGAGACCGACCGAAAGTGATTTTCTGATTTCGGCCGAAACCGAAAATAGGCCGAAATTTTAAAATGAATTTCGGCCGAAACCGAAAAAAGGCCGAAAGTTTAAAAATGACTTTCGGCCGAAACCGAAAAAAGGCCGAAAGTTAAAAATGAATTTTGGCCGAAACCGAAGCCGAAACCGAAGCCGAAACCGAAAATGAAACATTAAGATATTTTGAAATTCGTTCCCGCATACATTCTGCATACATCGAAAATGATGTGGGAAAGTATAAATATTTACATTCTTTTTATAAAAAAATGAGATAATCGTGAATATTAATAAATAAACATCTAATATAGGGGTCTCAAACTCGCGGCCCGCGAGCCATTTGTGAACCGCAAGACGCTATTTTGCGGCCCGCTACATGACAGAAAAGTTTAGTGTAAATGCGCCGGCCCGTTTCCCCCCATTCTCATATCTAATAACGTGATTCTACGCGACGGTTTCAGTCGAATCTCACCGACTAGTCTAATTCTGATTTTTTTATAAAAATGTTTCTATATATTTTTTATGCAACAGTGAGTAGGTGGATGAAAGTGAATTCTATTTTTTGAGAACCCTTAATGATTTTCATTGTTATTTATAAAGGTTGAGCAGATTGTAACAGTTGTAATCGCAAATGTTTCTATATATTTTTTATGCAACAGTGAGTAGGTGGATGAAAGTGAATTCTATTTTTTGAGAACCCTTAATGATTTTCATTGTTATTTATAAAGGTTGAGCAGATTGTAACAGTTGTAATCGCATTTTTGTGGATTACTTGATGCGGCCCACTCTCATTCAGACACTACCTCCTGCGCCCCCCCCAACCCCCCCCCCCCCCCTGATTTGAGTTTCAGATCCTTGATCTAATGAATACTTTGGATTTTACAATTTTAATATAAAAATAATTTAAATTGCTTTACAATTTTTAAAAATTAGTATGGTAAGAGAAAATTTGGCACAAATTGGTTGGGGGGGGGAATTAATGCAAAATATTATTTGTTTAAACCGGGTCTCTAAAAATTGTGGTTCTAAAAGATCGCTTAATTTGTTTTTTAAAGATCATTTAGTTGGTTGTTATTGATCGGTTAGTCTGTTCTTAAAGATCGGTGAGTTTGTTCATAAAGATCGCTTAGATTGTTCTAAAATATCCCTTAGTTTAATCTTAAAGATCGCTTAATTTGTTCTTAAAGATC